AATATCACTCTTCTTGGATAGTCATTTGGATGTTAAAGCAAATGTTTCCCACATAGTTGTGAAATCAATTATTAGAAGATATGCAGCCTTAAATCTCGTTTAAATCTAAGAAAGAAATATCATTTACTCTCTAATCGGGTTATCATAAGACAACTGTTTTATGTGTTTGTTTTAAGTCAATATTATGCTTCTCTTTTAATGGACAGCATTCTGCACCATAAAGCATTGCAGGTTTAACCACCATCTTATTGAATTTTTCCTTAAGTTTAAGGGGGACTTTTCTATCACACAACAAGTCTAAAACATTCCTCCACTTTAACCAACCAACATGAATTCTACTAATAATAATCCTATCTATTTCACCATCACTCAAAATAATAGACCAAACATACTTAAAATATATACTCTTATTAATGACTTGATCACTCAAGTCCCTCCACAATAACTATTATTACTAAAACTACACTCCATATATTTAGTTTTACATATACTCAAACGAAAGCCTTTAGACTTTTTGGTTATCCTCAATAATTCAAGTTTGCCTTCAACTTCCTCTCTCTCATCTTTTCAACAAGAAGAATATCTTCAACAAAAAGTATACACCATGGTATAATCTCTTGCAAATTTCTAGTGAGAACATTCATGACTAAAGAAAAAGAATATGGACTTAAGGTTGATCCTTTACGTAATACAACTAAAGTAGAAAAATATTTAGTCACACCACCTTCTGTCTGAGCACAAGTAATAACTCTTGCATACATATCCTTAAAGATTTGAATATAAACATTATTAACCCCTTTTTTTTTATAACTCTCCATAGCGCTTCTCTTGAAACTTTATCATATACTTTCTCTAAATCAATAGATATCATGTGTAAATCCTCCTTATTCTCTATATACTTCTCCATCAAACACACTAAAAAAAATGTATAGCTTCCATAGTAGACCTACCTTGGATGAATCCAAATTGATTTTGCGAAACATTAGCATCACGTCGCAACCTATGCTCCATAACTCTCTCCTACAGTTTTAAAGTATGACACATTAACATTAAAAAGTTTATTAAAAGAAACAATTCAAACCTTCAGGGCGTTGCCAGAGTGCTCGATGGGTTTTGGAGGCAGAGTGAGGCGAGCGCGAACACAAGCGTCCGGAGGAAAATGATACACAAACAAATGAGGAGGAAGGGTTGGTTTGGCTAATTTTATGTTAATTTTTGGCAATTATCTGGCAGTTTCTACCACCGGGGAAAAAATACTTAAAACCGGCGGCTTAGCCGCCAGTAAAGGTGACGTGAAAATAGCAAAACCGGTATCCTAACCGGGGGTTATTTTACCATCGACACTTCCGGAGGTTTATTATTAAACACCGCTGGTTAATACCGGCCGCCACACATCCGGTTTAACCGTCGGTAATTCTGGGGATTATTGGACCACCGGAATTACAGCTGGCAATCACCGGAATTACCGCTGGTAATCACTGATTTTTCTGTAGTGTTTCCTAATTGGGTCATCAAAAGGCTGAGGAACGTGCATCATGTAAGAAGTCTACTCTACGAAATGTATGAGGAATATGTTGTAAGTTCTGAAGCACAAATTGATGGTAATAGCGGTATTGCAGGAGGAAGTTCAAGGAGCGCAAACAGATCATAGCAAAGTGCAAACCATTTATCTAACTCTAAAAAATATAGTGGTTGGTATGATTTCACCTCATATGTTTCATCCAAAATAAGCACAAGACCTATAAAATCAAATTTAGACAACTACTTGGAAGATGGCTTAAGACTTTGTAGTGAAGGGCAGAAGTTCGATGTGATTCCATGATGGAAAAACAATCAAGCCAAATATTGCATACTTTCAAGAATGATTGTTGATATTTTATCCATCCCTATCAGTATAGTAGCTTTAGAGTCCACATTTAGTGCTAGAGGAAGAGTAGTTGATGCATATCGATCAAAATTATGGGTCGACACTATGCAAGCTCTTCTATGTGGCCCCAATTGGGTTAGCTACCACTATGGCCTGAAAGGAAGGTTTAAGGTAATAATGGTACACACATGATACAACACATTTGTTAGGTATCCCAAACACATACATATGAACATTCAATTATCATTGCTTTTGTAGGAGGAAGAGGATGAGGTTGAGATTGTCTTACCGATTATTTGAGAAAATTTGAGGTCATAATATATATACTCCTTTGTTGTAATTACAATCCCTTTGCATCAGCTGCTATGAATAATATCAGTTGTTTTCAGATCATGTTGATTTTTCTGATGTAGAGGATATATCTAGTGTACTGTGATTTCTATAGGTGATACCTACCTCCCTTTACTTACTCTACTACTTTCAAGAATAGTTTTGTATGTGCACTATTGTTATAACCTTTTTTTAATTCTTTAATCTTCGGATGTCTTTATTGCTACTTGTAAATTAGATCTATGTTTAAACAAAAATTAACTTCGATGGAGGTCTTCTACTTTTTGTGGTTCCAGGAAACTCCTAAACCATCCAATTTTGGGAAAACCAAACACCTAAGCTTTAATAAATTGCTTTCATATTGCATGTGTTTCATTACCCATACGATCCATCTGAAATTTTTAGCATCACACCCATTATGTAACAATCTTTTTGCAAGTGATTGTGCATTCTGTGTGCATTCACTTCTAATTGGGATAATATCTATAAATTTATTCTAGTCTTCGTAACACATGTCCATTCTGTTTTTGAAAATTATGCGTTTGGGATGTTGCTGCATTGCTCAGGTAATGGTGAATTGGCTCATCCTCCAGCTTTTGTTGCCTCTCAAATTTCTTGAAAGTGTTTACCGAGAAACTAGACAAAGCCTTATTGATATGTAGTATATGTTTCAATTGCTTGGGTACCTTAGTGCAGATTCTGATATTGTTTTAATTCTGTTAGTTTGATTATATGACTAAAGAGTTTCTTCTGCATAGTTCTTGAAAATGATCCAATGCATTAACTGGTTATTTTTTTTCCTGCATGTCAACCTGCTCCAGTTTGCACAATTCTGAGTAAATTTTCTAAAATAATATTGTAGCTGTTCAAATGCATTTTACACTTTGATTAGTTATATCTTGTGTTTTGATCCCTTCTCTAAAATAATTATTATTTAGCTTTCATCTTAATTTTTTCGGGTTTGCATTAAATTAATTGATACTAGAGAGTAGAGATGGAAGAGTTTGAAGAATATGAAATATCTGGCAAAGAAGGAAAAAATAGTTCTATCTTTTGTTGAGTTCTTTATTTATGCTCTATCATGAAACTTCTTAAAGGGAATTCTAATTATTTTTTTTTGTAATGATGTGATGATATGCAATTTGATCTAACAATTATATGATGCTCTATTTTTATATTAATCAAGTTTTTATTGCAATAAATTACATAAAAATTTCACTTTATATTCATCAAATTTTTAAATTAAATTTTTTAAGAAAGATGATTACTCGCTATATATTGATTTCTTCTACAACTAATTTGATGATCCAATGCATTAACGAGTTTTTCAAACGATATCGAGCTTGAGTTTTCGAGTCGAGCTCGAGCTTGGTATTTTTTTAAATGAGTCAAGCTCGATTCCACTGATCGAGCTCGAGCTCGAGTTTGAATTCGAGCTAATTAAGGGTTAAACTAGTCAGGCTTGATAAGGCAGATACTCGACTCAACTCGACTCGTTTACACCCATTGTCATAACTAAGGAATTTGTTCTCAGTGGAGGCTGACACTAGGAGCACACATAATGATCCAGGAGGCATTACTCGCATAGATGCCTCAGGAGAAATAGCACAACATGAACAACAAGCTCTACTCGCCCATACCTTCTAAGGAGCTCACTCTCCTATGGGGTGAATCGTAGATTCCTCATCAAGCTAAACTTAGCACCTACCATGTACCTAGACTTCTATATTAAGTGATTGGTCATTCTCATACAACCTCACTAAGCATAGCAATAGAAAGACGCCTATTCACGGGACCCTCAATTCATCTTATCATGACCATCCAACTTGAAACCTCTCCCGTCCCACAAAGACAACTCACTTACATCATCTTACACGATTCAATATCTCTCGAACATATCGCTAGCAATATCAGCAAGCCTACAAGTTGCATGTCCTCTAATCTCAACACTCACCCAAGCTTTCTCACCAGCTAAGCACCACTAAATTCACCGAGGGATAACATGCTTGGTTAATTTGTATAGTATTATACGAATGTTTAGTGTAGCATTGTGTTTTTAGTTTTTTTAAGTCGAAGAGGATAATTTTTATAGTATTATACGAATATTTAGTGTAGCATTTTATTTTTAATTTTTTTAAAAGTAATCTTTCCTATATCCCTATGAACTATATAAATAAGTTGCGATGAGTACTTTTGTATGGGTTTAAGAATAATTATAATGAATTTTATATTATTCTGAAATTCATCGTCGTTCTTGACTTTTCTGGAGATTCTCTGTAATCTTCTAGTTCTTTAGTCCTTTATCTCCCTCTCTTTTTGCCATCCATTCATAAGTTTCCAGTCCATTCACTCATAAAATAGACTTGCTAGTTAAATCTGTCTGACCCACAAACACATTTAAATCTAACAATCATTAATCCCATTCTCTCTCCATTTGTTCCGCTACATGCCACTTCGAAATATTAAACCAATGTTTGTATTGAATATTTTACATAAGTTCTAGTCATTTAACATTTTTGCAAATTCTTTGATAATAATTTTATCTATCAATTTTATGAATGCATTATTTATCTTTATTGTACTAAAATGAGAAATATGCATGTAAATACATTTTGTTGAAATTTTAAAAAATCATGCCTCCTGATAGTGCCTTTATGGTGAGAACATGTTGCTTCAGCATCTCTGTTAATTGCCAGCATTTTTAGTGATGTTTAAATGCCTTGCCCGTTCAACTTAAGCTGAAAGATAGCACATACGAAATAGACTACATAATCTGATAAATATTAAAACGACGATGGTGCAGTTGAAAAAAAACTAGATGATCATCGCCTGCTGCATTTTAACGCCCTCTACTCGTAAAGGAAAAGTGGTGTACATTCTCTTAACCTTGAAGGTATGTATACTACTAGATGTACAAACGGGATTTCAGTTGAAATCCGTTACTTGACACAGATTCATAGGCTAGCTAACATGCAGTCATAATCATAAACAAATATGTGATACAGAACAGAACAGTTCTGTCAAATCATCTCACAGCTTAGCATACTTCTTCACAGTATCTTCAAAGCCTTTCATCTCCTTGAATGATGGTAAGTTACTTAGCAGTGTAACCCTAGACGTTGATAGCAATAGCCTTTTCTTGTCACCTGAGATGTAAGGGTCGATCTTCCATAGTTGCACTTCCCATACCTTCACAATGGGCAAGAAAATGCTCATCGTTTGAGTTGTCACTAGAATGTAATTTAAGTAATCCAGCCAATCAGTAAAATTTTTTTTTAAAGAAATTTAAAAATCAGAATGAATAATCACTACTTTACAGGAGAAATAAATCAAAACAATAATGCAAACTAAAGAAATAGATGATCTAGTTCTGAAATTCTCTTGAAGAATTAGTTAACAAAGTATTCTGTTGAAACACACTGAAAGGAGAAGGGTGCAATAGCATGAGCTAACGGAATAGGAGAAATGATCTCCTGCGACCTTTATTTGATCAATAACACCCCTTTTATAAGTGGAGACTAAATTCGGTGCTACGAAGCATTCAACATTATAGAATTAATTAGAATTCAACCAATTTTGCTTATCTCTAAATGTATGACGAATGCCCAAGACTTGGAAGTTATCTCAAGGCAATGGAACAAAGTCAAAGATTTGGATTGCGGTTGTTCAATCAAAATTTGTCTACGGGTGACACCATATACTACTAACAGATAAATAATATATATATATATATACTACTAACTGATGATTGATGTGCTGGAACTAGAAAACTATACGAGGTCTGAATGAGTATGCGAAAATAGTGCAAAACATTAGAATTTTAGAAATATTTCCAACAAAATGAGCTCCATAAGGTCTCTTCACCTTTTACTTTAGAAAACACCCCCAATAACATGAAGCTAAAGGGAAGGCTACACTTAAGAAAAAATAAAAAAAGTAGCACGTGATTTGACTATTACAAACTGATACTGCCAGGTGAATGAGCTAGAGAATGTACATGTGGATCTCTGTCTCAGACTAGTACACTGGGTTACTCTTCGAGTGCGAGCATCTTAAGTGAGTCTTCAGGATCCAACATATAGGGTGAGTCTATGAGGGCATCCTCTGAATGTAGAGATGAGTGTTGCAACTCGGGCTCCTGAGTTTAAGATTTTAATGATAACAAATATTATTGATTGTCTATTTATTTCTCCTAGTATTTGCAGTCCATATTTTTTTGTGAGTTAACTAACATTTCAGGTACAATATGCACTGTTATTTGAATAATAAGCGCTCAAGATGAGGTACAATAGATTATTTTGACCGTGCAGATACACACAAGATCAAAAATAATTTTAAAATATAACTATTTGTACAGTACGAACAACACATCGTACTGGACGATCTGTTATAATTAGAAATCTCACCGTTCATTAAATTAAGCAAAAAATTTAAAATTGAAATGTTATTCTATTCGTACTGTACGAAACTAATCATATTTTCCGACATTTAAAATATTGTCTAATTTAATCTTGTGATTAATCAATTGAATCTGCTTAATTTTAATATTTTAATTGTACTATATGATAAAAAGAGATGATATTTCGTCGTTCCATGATTCGTCCTGAATGAACTGCATCTCGATTGAACTAATCGTATTGTATGATTGGTCATTCGTACTGGTGATCGTACAACACTAACAGGTAAAATTGAACTAATCATACTGTACGACTGGTCATTTGTACTGATGATTGTCTAGTACTAACAAGTCAAATTCTGCACATCATATTAAACGATCCTACGAACGTACTATACGATCTTTCATGACTGAATTAAATTTTTAGGATTTTTTCAAGTCCTCTATTTAAGCTTTCTCATAAGACTTTGTAAGAGTCTTTTTGGCATTCATTAAGTTAATTTCTTCTAGAAAAAGCTTGAAGAGAGAGCCTTAAGCTAGAGAGAAAGGGCGAGGTTTGTGAGAAAGGGAGAAAATCCTTGTGGGTTTAAAGGGAGTGTAAGAGAGAGTTCTACACAGTTCCTCCGACGATCTTGCACCTGAGTTCCTCCATGTGTAAATATTTGTCTAGAGGGAAGTTTTGAGAATAAGATCTCTTTTGTGTCAAAGGACCCCGCTATACCGCCGCACTAGGAAGGGTGAAAGGGATTCAAGGTTCTCTGCCAGTGAAAAGAATCAGGTTCTCTGTCATCTCAAGGAGGGAGGAAAAGGATTCAAGGTTTTCTTCCTCTGAAAGGATTATGATCCTCTGCCACTGCGGATTGATGGAAGATATTTTGTAAGAGCTTCACCACCTAGCTGTGGGGGCTAAAAGAGAGACACTATAATTATAGTGCAATACCCGGAGAGGACTCCGGGGAGTGAACTTAGGTTATGATTTAACCGAACCACTATAAATCTAGTGTACTCATTCTAATTTTTACTTTATGTACTTTATTTTTTCGCATTTTATTTTATATTATAACTGCTTGATTGAAAATATGTGATTGATATTACGCTGTATTGATTAGACTATCATCACCATCTTTATAACTTTTGATAAGTGTACTAGCTTCCGCATTAAGTGATTGTAATGTTATCGTCTTATTGTGCCTTAGGGGCAATTCATTGAGATCTTACAACCTCCTCTAACTTTCAATGAGTCCTTAAAGACAACATTTGGGCCTCTAGGCATCAAGCTGAGTCCCCGCGAACAAAAATAGTTACGAATAAATGATTGACACAATTAACAAAATCATAGCTATGATTGTTGCTTCCCATAGCTAGATCAAGAATGTTGGTGGCAAGTGAATGAACTTAATTGTAGATAGTTGTAGGTGAACAGGACCTGCAGAGAAAAGTGCATCTTTAGTAATAGAACCACTTAGGACGAGTTTTTTGACAAAAACCTAGGTACTTGTGGGTTACCAACATTGATATGTACAAGTATACATGTAGCTCCCTGATTACTTGACCCTTTAAAAAATGAATTGCGAAAAAAGATAATTGAATTAAAGACAAGCATTAATTGTTTTTGACTTAAAAAAATAAAAAGAGAGTAAGTGAAAATTACTGCACTATCATTACTATAGCCTCGGGTGTCATGCACATTCCTCATCAATACTCTAAATTTACCGTTGCACTAGCTTCATCTATAAGTAGTAGCAGGTGAGTACAGAGCACCCTCATTTTATTCGTTCAACTCCCTATAATTGGCAATTTACTCGCTTAGGATGGTTAAGCTAAATTCCTCTAAGCTTGCATATACAAGCTCAAAAAGTCGAAGCAGGCCATCCTCAAGAGGTAAATTAGAGGGCAAGGAGAAGAATTTTAGTTTGCATGACAGCAAGAAGAAGGTGGCAATCATAAAAGCGAATGGGCTTCTTGGTTTGGAGCAAAGTGGGTTAGCTATGCCAAAACCGAAGGAGACCGAGAAATTAGAGTTGCATAAAGTCATGAAGCAGGGTGGCCCGGTCATCAAGTTCCAATCGCGTGCCTCTCTGTGAGGCATATCAGGAAAGTTTGCTTCCCTTGCAACAGTGGTGCAGTCGCTAAAGCAATGACTCTCATTCTGGAAGTGGCGTCGACTCAGCTTTGGCTAAGCCCATTAGCGGTCGATGTAAAGTTAAGAGGATTCATTTTAGACCAGTGAGAGAGTAATTTTCAGAGGCCGAGCGCCACCGGCCTAAAGCGAGGCTAGAGTCCACTTAAACTTAGGCAAGTTCGTAGGACTCCTGTAGAGTGAGTTTGAAACGTTACCATTTAAGCAGTGGGCACTAAGATTTTATACAAGGATGGAAGACTTGAACAACAGATTGTTAATGGTAGTAAGGAGAGAAGAAATTTGATTTGTTGAAAGAAAACTTCATGCTACCTGCTTATAGTTGAACTTTTCACGCTCCTTAGGACTTTAAAGAAGCACAGACACCTTTCACATCAGTTGAGAGAGAGCAATTAAGCTTAGAGACTCGCCCAATGAGTCATTATATGTCTATCACTGTTTTGGTCATTTTGACATCTCCAAAATTGCCCTAAAATTATTTGAAGTTAATTTTATGCCTTTAGGTATCAAAAGGAACACAAAGAACTTACCTAAACTAGCACATAAAGTATAATTTAAAGGATTAAGTCGTATATTATACATTTTGAGTGTTGTTGATCCCATTTTTGGATGAGGTCAATCTCCTCTATACCAAACATAATTCTCTAGACCTACATCATTTTAAAATCTAAATTAAACTCATCACTGTGTTTTGGCATGGTGATTTTATCATTGACCATCGAAACCATTACTTGATAATCACCCTTGACTGTCATTTGATCATTTCATCTGCCACTTGACAATTATCCTTGATTGTCAGTGGCATGATCATTCCAAAGCCTAAAATTTCCTCAATTATAGACCTCATATAAACACTTCAAAATCTAAATCAAAATCAATTTTTAAATCCATTAGTTGACAGTCTCTAGTGATAGTCAACTCATTACCTTTTCAATCACTGATGATCATCAATGACTTTCATTGATATGAGCATTTCAAATCTTAAATCCTCCTAAACCATTGTCAAAATCAAATCAACTGACTAAACCCTTTGATCAATTCAAAACTCCAAAATCCAATGTCAGAGTCAAATCCAAAACTCCTTGGACTATAGCATATTTTAGATAAATTTCCATGTATCTGAAACATAACCAAATATCCTTAAATTCTTAATCTATCAGTTACATATTGATTAGACATGCCCTAAGGATAAACTACATTAGTTTGAACGCATTTCAAGATCCCTAAACCCTAAAACTCAAAGCATTTTTCTAGGCCGCAAAACCTTCAAATATTTATAACATATGCCATTGAACATGACATCTTATGATTTTGACCCTGAAGGCTTCTCCAAACCCATTGATCATGATCATAATCATTTCCATAATACGTTATAACAACATTAAATCTTTGTTGACTACAAAACTCTAAAATTTTATACTTTGAAAATTGAATTTTACCGAAACTTCAACATAGCTCAATCAAATTAAACTATGCAACCTTCTACAAATATGCTCAAAACACCATTTGGCATGCATTAAACTAAAACTCAAACTATGATTAACCTTGGTTGACTATGTTATCCTAAGTTGACTATATGGAGCTATTGAACCCAAAAGCTACATCTCATGCATTTGAAAATTGTCATTGCATGAAACCTCTTCCAATGTGTGC